TCGCGTTTCAAAAGTCACGTTTTAATCGTGACAGAAATTTGGTCAAAGTATGAATTTCGAAATTTCGAAATGCTATTTGACATGGTTCGCGATAATTTGAACTTATCTACGATTAAATATGCACGGAAAAAAATAATTTTGCTGTGATAGCAAAATCGCCGTTGCTACTGCATATTCGTAGTAATAGCAATAAAATTTAGTTGATAGAACTAATTTTACGAATTATTCGTCATTATAGCAAAATCTATTTTGTTGCGAGAATAGAACAAAATTCGCTGAGTATATTTGTAATTAAAATCATATTAATTTGCTACTGAAGCAAAATAATATATTCTTAGCAAATACATTTGCTGTCACAACGAAATAATTTGTTAATCCAGCAAATTATTCCAGCAAATTGCGATTAGTATTCGTAACAAATCTTCTTGCTATCCATATAGTAACGAACAGAATTTGTTACAACAGCATAAAATCTGCTGTGTCAGCAAATTATTTTTCTCCGTGTGGTAATAACGAATAGTTAGATACAAAATATTTTTTTTAACAAAAAAGACACTGTACGACAAGAATATGATTTGTAAGATAAAGTGTAATATTCTTAGGCTTTTATCTTGTATCTCGCGAATGGAAAATCAGGATATCAATGTTTCAAAGATCAAATATTTTAAATATAAATTCATAAAATATAACATCTGCGAGTATTTAATTATTTCGCACGTACGAACGATTTCAGTTCTTTCGGCAAAAGTCATCGCGAAGTCAAAACATTATAGTCATAAAGATGTCAAATTATGTTTCATTAAAAGTGTCGAATGATATTATCTCGACTTTCTAAAAATAATTGCTTTTTTTACATCATTTTCACTTTTAAATTGATTTTTTATTCCGTTTGGGGAGATTTAATCATGTGAAGTATCAAACAGTTGATAACCTCGACGAAATAGCCCGAGCCAATATTAATTAGAGATATACAGAGCATCTATACTCGTATAATGTAAATTTCAATTACGTATCATGTATTTTGTATAATTACACGCGTAATTACGCCTCGTGTTCGTCAAACGTGCGATCAAGTGCATTGTACAGTGATGGACAATAGTTGCGACATTTTTTTTAATGAGTTTAGAAACGCGCATTTAGATTCATGTTTACATTTCAAAACGTTTTCTATGGGGAAAATTGTACTCGAGAAAGAGATCGGAAACGCTCATCAAAATGGTTTCGGAATGGTCATCGAGTAAAATATTCCTCGGAGAAGAAGATTTCGTAACGTAATTAACCCTGAATCTAAATGTATTTACGTTCCTAAATTGGTTAAAATAAAGTGTCGCAACCATTCTGTCCATCACCGAACTTGTATATATACATATCTCAATACCAATTCCATCCTGTGCACTGTCAAATATTTCCATTGGATAAACCAATTAAATAGTGTTTCCGATGATTAATTTTTCCGATAAAATTATGAATACATCCGTTACCGATGAAATTTGATTGGAAAAACCGATCATAATATTCATCGGATATACAATTTAATCAGATCTACCCGTTTGTTATCATGTAATTGGATTATCCGATTATATTAAATCGGACATTTTTCTCAGTGCGTGTATATGCTCGTTCCTCGATTTACACGGAATATTCGCTCCACGTGGTTTTTCCTTTACGCGATTGGGAATTACGCAAATGCAGGACCGCCAGCACAAAAACAAGGTAAGTAAGAGAAAAGCCCGTATACTCTACATGCGTGCTAACGAGGCTACGTTTCTCTCACTCGTCCCTATTCGACTTTGGTCTTGTTCCCCGCGTAAACGGAGGTACTTACGCCGCATGAGAGGAAAACCCGTATGATTTGAAGGACGTCTACACGGGGAGAACTTTCTTTGAAAATTTATCCTGAAAATCATGTAATCGTGGGACAACACGGCATTTCAAAGAATTTTATAAGAGTTTTTTGAAATTTTACCATACATTTTACTAGTAAAACCCTTGGGAAAATATACCTTAAAGTTTTACTTTAGAAAAGTAAGAAATATGCAAAGTAAATTTGGCCGCTTTAAACTTTTATTCAAGGTAAACTTAAAACTTACTTTAAGAATTTAAAAGAAAACTTTAAAACTTGTGAAAAGTGTGTGATATAATTTGTAATACCGCGTGCGGTTTTCTTCTTACGAGAAAGTGCTATGCCGCGCGGCCCTCTAGCGGGAACTTCGACAGGCCTGGCTATCTAGAAATTACTTCAAGTGTTCAAAATTACCCTAAAATTTCTTAAGTAAACTCTAAAATTTGAAAGATTACTTTTGAAAACTTTAATTTTATTGAAAGTAAATTTTCCCACGGGAATGTTTCTCGTTTTAAAAACTAGTCAGATCCTTCTCGCTTAAACTAGTAAAATGTATGGAAACCTTTCAAGGGACTCTCATAAAGTTCTTCAAAAGGCCATGCTGTCCCACGATCACATAATTTCCAGGATAAATTTTCAGAGAAGATTCTCCCCGTGGAGATATACATATATATTTTCTACTCTAGAGCAATATAGTCGCCGCAACTGCATTGTTATTCGACGAGTAGAGCGTAAAATTGAGCTTCATCCCAATTTTATGTTAAATAATCGTTGTGTCTCGCAATAAATGGGTGTAACACAAAAGTAATGTAAAAGTAGTGTAATTGTGCCACTTTTACCCTAACGTTTACATTAACTGCGTTCAACGAGCGTTTAATATACCATCATGTATTGGGAGTTGTGTTCCAACACGAGGAGAAGTTCTTCTTAAAATTAACCTGAAAATTCAATCGCGGAACAATATAGTACTTTGAAGAATTTTATGTGGCTTCTTTTACTAGTAAAATGTACGGTAAAATGTCAAAAACTCTCGTAAAATTCTCCGGAGTACCATGTTGCCCCACGATCGTATCATTTTTTGGGGTAAATTTTAAGAGAAAATTCCGCGTAATCGTTCTTCTCCAAACGCGATCGATCCAACGATCTGTAAAGCTACCGAGTTTTAACGAAGCGCACAAACGTCTCGGGCGCGTCGTGGAAACACTGGAGACTTAATTACCCGAATGTGCTACGCGCAACTGCGTTCTCTCTCCCTCTCTCCCTCTTTCTATCGTTCTCTCTCTCTCTGCGAGTCCCGGCTTCGCGAAGCTGACCGGCAGGATCGACTCTGCAGCAGGCGAGGAAACGAGGATGGCTCGGCTCGGCAGCGGAGCGAATCCGGAGGACGGAGATCTCTCCGCGGTGCGGCCACTAAGCTCTCACGCGCGGTACCAATTCGCGGCGCGACATCGCACTAAACTCACCGATCGATCGTACGCCGGCCGCGTCTTCTAATCGGCCTCTCGGACCCCCGGTTCGGCGTCTCCGCTCGCCGCGGATCTCGCGCAGCGGATTGGTCGTCGATAAAGGCCTTCGGCATCGGCAAACTTTGACACTAGCCGCGCTCCTCTCCCGGCGCCCCACCGTGCCGCGAAAGGCGAACGCGGCCGTTTCGCACTCGCCATTCACGCACCGCGGCCTTTAATCGCGCGCGCGCCTGTGTGAGTGCGCGGCTCGGGAATGGCGGCGCGTGCTTTGACGAGTCAGCTGACCGGAGCTCGACCGTGTGACGCATGTGTGGCGAACACTTGCGCATGCTGGCTGTATATGGATTTACGAATCGCACACGCGCGCACGTACACACTTGGGACTCGGACTTCGTTACCAGTCGTGGTGTATAATAGAATTAATACGCGCGTCTTTGATAACGTTTTCTCGGAGTAGAGCAGCGACGAAGCTTAGATTAAAGGCGCGAAGAGCGACGCAGTTGTTGGCAATTAGGTCAAGTTAATGAAACTTGTTTTTCCTGGCTATTTCTAAGGCAGCAAGTGCCGTGCGATTACATTGACGACATCTTTCTGTAGTTGATAACGCTTTATCTACCATCGGTGCGGTCGCTAGCTGCTCGTCGTCGAAGAGCTTCTGGCGATGACGACACTTGCCAAGATATCGGGCAGGTCGGGAATCAAATACGTGTAGCGAAATTGTATTATCTTTCGGATCACCTTTTAAAATAATCGATGACTCCGAATAATAAACGCTCTGAATATTAATCCGTTCGTGTAACGAGACTCGGGCGAGCGGATCCCGTCACCATCTTGCGATGGCGGAACGAGGCGTATCTGACTAAATTTAGCCGTGAATGTTTGGAGCGCTGTGGATGCCCCGAGCGAACCGCCGCTATTTTTGGTCCTTCCTGTTAAATCTAAAATAAGAAAACGCACGAGCACTTTTTTATCCTACTGTAGGAATCGTCCAGACACTTATGGCCCGAAGAGACGCAATGACATAAGCGTGCCCGCGAAAGTAACATCTTCATCACGGAAAAAGAAGCTGTTGAATTAAACAAAACGAAGTCGCTTGAATTAAACGTTAATGTCACGGGCTGCCACAAACGTAAATAATTCACTCGACTGTATTTGAAATCCACTAAATGTCCAGATTATTAAGACAATTTTATGTTTTTTTCTTTATCAATACTGATGTTGCTTCAACGATTTTATTTCAATTACACTGACCTCGTTGATACAACATCACTCTTTTTTCCGTGTACAATTAGACACTCGAGAAAAAAATCCGGAGATATGTCCGATTAGATTGTACATTCATTGAAAAATATGATTTTTTCGATTGGCTTTTACATTCAAATTTTATCGGATATACCCGTAATTTACTCGGAAAACGTAATCGGAAAAATTAACCGTCGGAAACGCTAATTGGTTTGTTCGGTGGAAATTTTTCTGCAGTGTACTTTGCAATCCAATTTTTCTTAAAATACCGCACAGCAAGAGGTAACAGTACAAATTACATAATTCTTTTACATGCTGCGTAGAAGAAATACAACGAAGCGTGTACGTGATAAACTAATTTATTGGCTTGCTAAAAGTGGAGGGACAGAAAACGGAAGTTGCGACAGTAAGAAAACTCCACTTCTCGCAATCGCAAATAAAACACGTGCTTCCTCTTCGTCCGACACATTGTTTCAAAATTTAAAAAAGTGATATACAAGAACCAGCTGCAGAGCTTCTTTCTTCCTCAACCTCGTCGACGTGCCTTGTCCCCAAAGTGTCAAGATTGAACTTTGGCTGTTCTAACGCGTCCCTGTTATGCACGCGACGATTGTTTCCTCCAATTCAGCGGAGCCGCCTGGCTTCCCGCTCGGACTCCAGCAACGTCAGAATGTCCCCTTCGCGCACGGGACCTTTGACATTCCTGATAAGCTGCCTGTTCTGCTCGTTCAGGAACTCTACTTTGACCTGCGTGCATTGTCCCTGGGAGCCTGTTCTGCCGAGGACCTTCACCACCCTCGCCCGCACTATAGGCTTCTCCATACCCTCGTATGTGCCGTGGCCTTTTATCTCGCCGCAGGATCGCGCACGTAGAACAGCTCTCGCGCGTGTCACAATGCCGCACTGAGCGTGCAGGCCGCTACCGACTTGGACCGCGTGCGGATCAAATGTCATCTTGACAATGTTCCAAGAAAGAGAGAGCTGCAGAGCGGGAGAGAAGAACGCGCCAGATGAGGACGTCGAGAAGTTTCGCGGAGCGCACGGACAACGCAAAACTTTGTCGGTCGAGAAATTATAGGTATTAAGAGCGAACGATTTCTTTTCCTAATAATAAATTAATTATATGTGAACCGTTTTATATAAATAATACGAACAACGCCTCGTACGGTCCGGCTGGCTCTTAAAATAATATGTTTGCGTATCTGTGTACAGTGATGGACAGAATGGTTGCAACGCTTTCTTTTAATGAGTTTAGGAACGCGCATTTAGATTCAGAGATTTACGTTCCGAAACATTTTCTCCGAGGAAAATTTTACTCGAGAAATCAATCGAAGGCGCTCAAAATTGTTTTGAAATGGCCATCAAAAATATTCCTCAGAGAAGAAGACTTTGGAACGTTCCTAAACTCATTAATAAAAAAAGTGTCGCCATTCTGTCCATCACTGTACATTCTTTTCAACACGGCGAACTGCGCGCCGATTATTTTCAGTCTTGAAAATGTAGTGTGTCGAAAGAACGTAACTAATTAATAATAAACTTTCAAGTAGGACCCTCTATCTAAAACTAAACAATATATGAGAACGTGCCTAATGCGGGTCACAAGGCAAGATGTAGGTGGCCCAACTTGCAAATCTTAAAATCTTTCTGAAAATCGTGAATCTATATACCGTTTCTTTCCACATTAGTTCTACGCGCCGATTTCTTTCGAAAAGAAATATATTGTTTTGTAACTGATTAAATTAATAATCGGTTTAATAATATTCCTATAATTGAGTATCCTTTAAAACGAAACTATAAGAGACTTATTGCGATAAACGTCACCTCAGGACTCGAGCCTGGACCCCCCCCTGCTATCCGATACGGGTGTCTTACAACCAATTCGCGACCATTGAAGCATTTTTTCCTACTTCTGAAGAATTCCTCGCGATTGTTCAAAATCACTCGAGAATTTACTCAACATCAGCAATCTACCGTTATCAAAGATACGCTTTAAAATAAGACCGATCCGTATCTTCACCGAGCACGTGACTTCGATGCTGCTCTCTGACGTCGGTTCAAAGTCCGCTATGTCAGCTATTTTGCAAACACTTCTCGCTGAAACGTGCTATTGTACAGAGTATATACCCGAGTCGAAATTTTGGTACTATCTTTTTTTAATTTACACCTACTTAGCTGATCTATACACCTACATAGACCAGCAATAACCTACTTCGATGGCATTACATTTTTTTACTCCTCCCTTGAATCTTCCACTCTAAATTGGCAAAAGTAGAAATTTCCGACACTATCAGTTTTAAAGTAGGAGTCAATTTTGTACTTGCAGTTCGACCTCTTTTATTGTCTTAGGTCCTACTATACAGGTAAGAAACAGGTAAATACACGAGACATTCAAGTAGCTCTATCTCGGAAACAGTGGGGAACGGGACATATATTTATATAGACATTTTTGCTTTAAATAACTGATACTATCACCTTCCAGAATATTGACCTTTCCTGATCCTGGAACACCCTGTATAATAGAATTAAAGGGCCAAAATTTCGACTCGGGTAGTTCGACGACGTTTGCGTGGAACCTCGTTGTCAATCTCAAAGCCAATGCCTCGTCGGAAATTAGAACGCCGAACGTTAAACAACGAGGGCATGGCGGGCAAGGGAAGACAACTCCCGCTCATCGATACAATTGTTTATTCATTTGTGCTTTAGTACAAACGTGACGTTCCTCGATAAAATCAAGACAACGCAGTACATTAGCGCCGAAATCCGGCGAGGATTTTTCTCTCCCCCCCGTTTCCTCCTCGTCTCATCTCGGAAAACGAGATCTCTACGCCCGCGTCCCCGTACACACTCACGCGCAATCACACGACGCACTCACATTCTTTCCGTCATATAAAATCACGGTAGTGGAAAAAGATTGCGGTACTCGGTATGGAGGCTCGTGTAACATTGAACATTGTACATCGACGTATGCGTGCGTGTGTGTATATGTATATATGTATACCACGGTTGGAAAAATTGTGTTCAATTTAATAGATCGCATATACCAAACCGGTCCACAGATATTTTTGTGTTAGTTTAGCGTAACATGGATATGTTGAGCAGCGACACTAAAATGCTATATTAATATTTTAACGCAATACGAATGTATATCAAAATATTTTGTGTAAAATTAATTTTGTGTAAAGGCGACATACCTTTAATGATAAAATTAACTAAAAAAAGTTATTTTTACATTTTACAACTGTAATAATTCAAACTTGCATATTATAGAATAAAATCGACGGTTTCTTTTTCTGTAAATTTTAACAGATTTAACAGACAAATCCTGTCGCTAAAAAATTGCAAACAAGTGAACGTTGCGTTATTTTTACACTTTTTGAAAAATTGTTTTAATGATTTGACACTTGAGTTCAATTAACGTAACGGTAATTAAATTAACACACGAATGTGCGAAATATTTAACACGAAACTTTTAATCGGCATACTTTTTAACGATGAAACACGAATTTTCCAACTATGCACGTATATGTATGTATGTGTATGCGTTCGGATTATGGGCCGATAATGTATAATGTATTATAGGTCCACGGTTTGCGGACACGTGGTCTTAGAAGCGACAGACGGATTCGAATGGATTCTTACGCTGCGATCCTCGTGTCCTCCAGTGCACTTTGCGCTTCTTTCTTTTCGCGCGAGCTAGATCGTCATGGAGGTTTTGCAACGAGGAAGAATCCACTCGCTCGCTGATAACGCTCGTGAAGTCTTGAACGCGAAGCACGTGATACGAGTGTATCGTGAATCGAGTGTACGATTGTAAATCGATCGTTGTCCTGACCTCGGACTTGCGCGATGTCATAGTTGAATGATAAATTTGATAAACAGGAAATTATATGTCACAAATATCGAGCATGATCGGGATTAGCCGCTAATTATCAAAAGGGACGACCAAATAAAAGTACGACGTGCTGCGCGTTTAGATCTCAACGTGGATGAATGTTAATCGAGAGAAATTTACAGTACGCTATATAATATTGCTGTACGAGGATGGTGCGTGCTTCTTCGGGATAAAAGTTTCCTCAGCACAGCGCATCGAGGTCCGAGCGCGTTAACGGTTATCGGTTTAACAACGCATCGCGCGTGTGCATGTGAAACTATATCATTGGGATATCGTTTATTTACAAATGCGACCGTAAACACGAGCTTTTAATCGCTGCAGATCAAACTCCTCTCTATACCTAAGTGTTACGTAACGTCCGCACTTTCTTTCCGTTAATATCGAATCGTTGGCATTCTGCGTAACAGCACGCGAAGTTAATTAATCAGCATGCTTTTTGGCATGGTACACTTGTAACTCGCTCATTCGTTCAATTTCAGCAAGCATTATGAAAATCAAGTTTCGCAATACAGTAACACGCTGAAAAAAAAGTTTCGCTACCGTAGCTAATCATTTGCTAAAAATATTTTGCTGCCATAACTATTTAAGCCACAACAAACGATTTGCTGTCGCGCCTAATACAACAGGCACAGCAGCAAAATATTTAGCTGTCACAACTAAATATTAGTCGTCCATTGACAACCGACATTTAGTTGTCACATGCAGTTTTTAGCTACGACAGCTACATTTTCCTTGCCATACTTAAGAAAGACACATCATCGTTTGGACTAACGCTTTCTAAAATCGTCTCCCCGTTCTTATTACAATCGCCATACCGTATACCTTCCTTCCTTTAATAATAAGTACAGATATAATCAATGAAAAAAAGATGTATCACTCTATAAGATGTATCACTCTACAAATATAGAAATTTACTTTTCACAATTTAATCCACACGTTTTCTTCTAATGTGTACATACAACCAATATTAGTGTAACGCGAGAAGCACGCGCACAAATTCTTTAGCAGAGAAACACCCTTGACTTTCATGCCGCAAAAATATATTTTAACAATCAACTAGATTTGTAAGAGTCTCGACAATATTTCCAGAGATACACGTATATCTAGCAACTGATAATTTTTTTGATTAAAAAAAAAGTATCGAATTATGCATACGTGAATTACAATTGTATAAACGAAGTATCTTAGAAATTAATATCTACTACGGTGTCGTCTAAAAATTGTTCTAAATGCGTCTAAAAATTGTTCTAAATGTCACATGGCAAGAGAAAGAAAACATTGTACAGTCAAAATAATTTAATAACTTTTCAAGGAAATTACTTCGACTATCGCAATATTTCACACGTAAGCAAATCGGCTTAATTAAGCTTAAGTATTCATTTCAATCGTTTTCTCATAATCGTATAATTAAGTAAATAAATGTATGTGTAAAATAAAATAAGAACAATATCAAAATATAAATACTGCTTTCTCCCATCACTTATACGGACAACGAAATCGTTAATTGGCTAAGCAAATGTACCATTTACCACTTCTACACTTACAATAGGAAATATTGCACGAGGGAAATTATCAAGTAAAATATAGGAAATTATAACTTTCATGATAGACTCTATTGCCTTGTCGTTCTGTCATTATCGCTATTCACTCTTTGATACAAATAAAAAAAATTAGAGACACTCATTGTTATTTACACCTACAGGTTTGTGCATAACATACAAAGAAATACCGCAACTAACGTTCCTCAGCTCTTAAAAAGAAAAGGCACCCTAAATTACCCGCAAAATTAACGTCTGTATTGCATGAAACAGTTTTTCTCCCCGTAATCATATTTTGTCGGTTGATGGCCGCGCCGATTGGTAGTTAGTCATATTTGCAGCACAACATATTCACGATACCGTTTTATTCATTGTCATATTCGTCGATCGTTGAATAAATAAAATTCGACCAAAGAGGTACTCGCGCATAGGCCGCGAATTGCATTGCATTGCGAAAAGGAAAGTACTCATTGACGCATTGCCTGCTCCGTTTTTCGATTTATACAGCTTTATACAATTCTTTCCATCGTCTGAATAGAATTATTTTTATATACTATATGATATAAGTGTAACAACACTTAGTACTCGCACTTAGAAGCAACGCTCAGGCAGCTAGTGATTGGTCAAGTGTGAGCTTTTTACAATAAACACTTCTCTCCCCCATCCTTTCCCCCTTATAATTATTTTTATTAGCTATTAGGTAAATCGTTGACGATATTACGATATGAAGAAAGAGCGATTACGTGGTGAGCTCGGTTCGTACCGAAAACGTCATTTGTGAACGTTGCTCTCGGTGTTTGGCGAACTTTTATTCGAGGACATTATTACGATCATAAGTGTGCGATTCGTTCAACCCCGAGACACTCGTCGCGATCGTAATTGAACGTGGCCAGCTAATGTGTGATGTAAGATGAGAGAAATAATGAAAGACTTGTCTTAACGATCCATGTGTCCTACCCTGCCTACCTATAGAAACCTCTATTTTCGCGTTCGCGCTTAAATGCGCTCGTTGGAGGGACACGGAGTCTCAAATGGGCCTAAGGCTCCTGGCGAGTTCGTAGTAATTGGCTATAAACGTTTCGCAGTTTTTATTCGATACCGATATATTGCCCGACTGTATTGCCGTCGCGAGTCGGCCTACTGTTGTTAATGCGCGATTGAAGGTAGCCTAACTCCTGCCTGGACTATTTGTTTAAACGCCTATCTAAGATTACGATTCGTCTTTAATCGGAGATTCGAATCCTCATCGAGGTAATTTCTGGTAAGCTACTTTACTTACTCGAGCTAACGAAGTACGATAGCGTGCTCTCTTTTGTCACAGAGATCATTGAGTTTTGGTACCGCAAACATCACTACGATCAATAATAATTAAGCACCCTTCGTGAAGCGTTAACGCTACATGAGTAAAATGATAAAAAAGTATTATACTTCAATAGAGAGAGATGGTTAATTAAATAAAACCCTTGCGATCATAAATCACGTATCAAAGTTCAAACGATCGTTTGAATCAAAGATAATTTATAACTGCGTTACCTCAATGTTCCTATTCAAAGCGTATATTCTTTTCATAGATTCCACACAGCACTCTTCGCGACAGTTCTACCCCTCTCATTCTTGAGATCGAAATAATCTTCGCGATCCTCCTCTTCGTCGTTGGTTCCTTGCGGATTTACGAAAGTATGATCCTCGATGATATTCAGATCGTGGTTTAACATGGCGGTCGTAGAGTCGTGACATGATCGATTATTGTCTGTCCTGGACTCCTCATTGGGGTATTTAACGAAGGGATCGCAGCTTGAGCTTCAGCACGAAGTAAACGACCACCCTGATAACGAGCAGGAAGCCAAGCAGGGCGACGACGTCCACCCAGTAGACCGCGTTCTCCATGGCCATCTGTTCGAGGAACTTCGTCGGGCTCTTGAAGTGGCAGTAGTGCTCGGAACACTTAAGCTTCGCCCGATTGTAGCCGTACACGGAAATCATGGCGCCCTCGAAGCCGTACCTCACGTAGCTCACGTACGAGAGGAACTTCAGATACTTCGGTACGGCGTTAAAGTTAACGAAGAAACCGGAGAACAGGATGATCGGCACCGACATCACGGGTCCGATGAACACTCCACTCTGCGGACGATAACATCGACGGGATTAAGTAACAGGGAATCGGTTGTGTGCACTTTTTAATATGCATATAAGGAAGGTGATTCTCAGACAAGGACGGCGGTATGTTATGCCGATCATCGGCATTACCTCCACGCTCATTGCCGCTCCTATCAGCAGACCGATGGATTGCGCGACCAGCGATGTCAGGATGCATATATTTAGGTACATCAGAAACCGCTGCACCTCCAACGGTTGCGACGTAATGAAGTAAACGATCATCACGTAGGCTATAGAGTACACCATCTGCAACGACGATCGCGTGAGTCGTCTCGATGTGGTCTAGCTCTAATCGGGCCACGGGGAACCGTGTTATAGATTGTACTCACCTGGAACGGCAAGTCCGCCAACGTTCTCGCGAGGTAAAAAGCTTTCACGGAGTACCAGTAGTTGAGGTGCTCCCTCACGAATACGGACATTTCCATCGGAACTGAGCGAGAAAATAACGACGCAGTGATAATAAAACGAGCGTCGTGAATACATTCTACGACTCGGCGTGACTATGAATCACTTACATGTTAATATCGTAGGCATCATGGCGGTGAACATGAGAAACATCACCGTGAAGAAGACGCATCCGGCGTTGCTCATGACCTCCGAGGCCTCGTTGCCGATGTCGTAATAAATTGCGCCGATCAGGAAGCCGACGATTATATGCGAGATCAGTCTTACCCTTGTTAACGTCTATAAAAGCGAAAATCAGGTAAAGTAGATGTTACCAATTTCATAAAGGAACATTTTTCTTCTTTCGCAGTAAAAAAGTGCTACGTATGATGCAATTATTTCACCCGTTTTTTAAAGTGATTGTTCCTCTGACGCCATAGTAATAAATAGGAGTGTATCTTCAGGGAGATGACGCCATACTATAACTATAGTAGATCCACTCCACCATTTGTTTGGTTTTGCGTCGATCCCGTCTGTGCATCCGTCATTTCTGTAGTCCAGCCAGTGAAACAATTGGATGTGCGGCAGTGTAGCTTTGATGAATACGTACGCACATACACGCCGCTGGATTTGGACCAAAAACATGGCGGAATACCACGGGATCGAAAAGATCAACCCCTAGTAGCACAGTGCATTGGCCAAATATTGGTAAAACATGGGCCCAATATTTGGTTATATTGGGCCATGTTTAGCCAATACACTGTGCTAATAGGGAAGGGCCGACAGAGAGTGGGCGTACTATAGTTTATACTGTGTAGGCACTGAGACGCGCCACTTATTAACTTTTTGACGAGAAAAATAACGGACTAGGGCTAGACTAGGATTCGAACCTGGGACCTTCCGCTTGCCGGGCGAATGCTCTTCCAACTGAGCTATCCAGGCCCACATGAAAGGTAGGTAGAAAAGACTATTTCGAATTGTGCGTGAGCACTTCGTACTTACCATATCTCGTATCTGCGACAGAAATGTCCTCTTGAGCAGTATCCAAAATTGCAGCCAGCCGTTCGTCGGGAAGCCGACCTTCTGTTCTATGCTCTCCGCGCTGTCCAGCAGCGACGTTGTGCAGGATACCGGCATGTTGATCATCGTCGCGCCGGTCGGAGGTTTCGCGACTCCGTTCGGTATCAAGGCGACTCCTTCTGGCTTTGGTTGCTCCTGCGGCGACTCCTTGGCGATGTCATTCGACACCGTCTGCGCCGCGGCGATGGCTGCCTGATGGTGCTGATAGTTGTTACACTTGCCGTTGTTCACAGCCATCACCAGCTTGTGAACGCACTCGCCGTGCTCCCCGCAGGCGACCTCCATCACTGAACCAACAAGATTTGGTAAACGCGAGAGAAACGTTGGACGATGAGTCATTGCGCTTTGCAAGACGTTTGAAATCTCGTTACGAGATTGAGATTAATCTTATCCCGAATCAGTTTGTCTGACGCAAAGGGATCGCAGTTGAGGATCTCGTATAAATATAGAAGCGACAATTGACATTTAGATTAGGATGATGGAAACTTCATCGTGGATACTTGCCATAATCTGCCGGATTATGGTAACTCGGGCAATCGAGACCCATCGATGACAAGAACGGCACTAGGCCGCCCACGTTACCCTGATATATACACTGGCCTTCGGCAAGCAGGTACAGGTTATCAAACATCTCAAACAGTCGCGCGCTTGGTTGGTGGATCGTACATATGATCGTCCTTCCTGAAAGAGACACCAGCGCATATCGGTAACGACTCCTTTTCCGTTTCGCAAACGCGTGAGAATCTCGCGTGAGCTTTACCTCCTCTGCTTAGGGACTTGAGCAAACTTAGACACTGGAAACAAGAAGAGCTGTCCAAACCGGAGGTAGGCTCATCGAAGAACATGACCGGGGGATTGTTGACGAGCTCCAACGCTATCGACAGCCTCTTCCTCTGTCCGCCGCTGAGACTCTGGGTCTGCGTGTTGCTGGCTTCGCGTAGGCCAAGCGTTTCGATAATTTCCTCGATCTGCCGATTCGATCACAAACAAGGATCTCAAGCACGGAACTTTCTGGACAGTCTGACTTACTGACAGAAAAGAAATGATGTGCATCGTACCACTACTTTCTTGGCAGTCGCGCTGATGTCCTTCCCCAACTTCAGATTCGCCGAGACGTTCATCGCCTCGTAAACGGTCAGGTGTGGCAGAAGTCGATCGTCTTGCATGATATAACAGGACATCTTTCGAAATCTTCTGAGATTTCTGTCCTTCCCGTTTATCAGCACCGAGCCGCTCAAGTGCGACGTTCTAGAAGATATTGGGAAACGATTACAATCCTCACTTAATCCTAATGCGCCGTCAATTTTCCGTCGCAATGGTCTTACTTATAGCCTGCTAAAACGTTCATAAGCGTGCTCTTTCCGGCGCCGGACGGTCCCATAATCGCCGTTAGCTCTCCGCACCTGAATTTTCCGTTGACGCATTTTAGAATGGTTTTGTATCCTGCAATACACAGAGCCGGGATAATAAAGAGCAATGGAGGACACGCGAGAAATTGTGTTGCTCTGTAGTCTAAAATATTTTATCCGCAGCACGGATTATATCGCTGGGGAAAATTCGTAAATCTCTTAAAAAATTCAAAGACTCCCGAAGTCGAAACTTTCCGAGCGTATTGCTATGTAAAGTGCATTACAGAAGAAGTGTATTAAATATGCGTGGCGTTATCCGATTTCGATTGATGTAAAGCGACCAGTGTACCCAGCGAAAGCAATAGAGAAACGAATGGTATTTTATAATAAAAGCCTCCAAAGAAATTCTGGCGTAGCCAGCGGATTGCCAAAATTCCCACTACGGTCTTGCCAATGCCATGACGTTCGCCAGATCATTATAGACGCGTTCGAATGTCCCTCGGCCAAACGGAACCCCTGGCTGACCTCTTTATCGCCGGTGCGGATGCACCGGCGGACGATGCAACTGCGCCGAAACGGCTACCTGCCCGTACATTTCTATCGATTTTTTCGGCCAGGTCATTCACACGCGTTGGTGATGGGACGAAAAGCCTACCGCATGGTACCCCGCATATTCGATTCGCCACTTGAATCCGATCGCTCCAGCTTCTTGAATTATCTACGTCTTCGTTCCGGCGAGCCGTTACTGAATCGATAGCGCGGCATCGAAAATACATCGTGCCGATACGCTATTCCGAGGCATAAGCGGCTGATTTGATTAAAGTAGGAGGCTCCGCTCGCGCGGCCTACCTCAATTTCTTTTATATTTCGCTCTCGCGATAACAATCGCGCCTTGCCGGCGGCGACTCGTTCGCGCGCTGCTGGAACGCGAATTGAACTTTCTCCCGGAATCTGGACGTGTAATTGCATTTGCCACTCCTCTTCGAGACTCACCTCTCTTTCTACCCTCGGACACGCTGTAGGCCAGGTTCTTGAACTCTATGTCGACCGGTGGCCTCTTCGGGAGGTGCGTTAACGCTACCGCCGGCCTCTTGTTGCTCTGCCCGGGACTGGCGCCGCTATGGTTCGGCACCTTCCTGGCCAGAACACCACCGGTGCACACCGCAGCCGCAGCCCCGTTCGACGTGGTGCCGTTGCAACTGCAGTGGAGGTTGTTCTGCGAGCCGCTGCAACAACGAGACGTTTCCGCCCGTTCGTTAATTTCGCCAATCGATCGCCGAGAACCGAATGTCTGCATTGGACCGATAACGCACCAGCTTAACGTAGCGTGCTCTATAAATCGCAAAGATCCGAGGAGCGAGTCCAGCTCCTTCCTAAACATGTTATACGATGACTAGTACACGGAGAGAATATCCTCTTAAAATTTATTCTGAAAATTATGTGATCGTTGAACAACATGGCATTTCAAAGAATTTTATTAGAATATTATATTTACTAGGAAAATGTATGATGAAATTTCAATAAACTCTCATAAAATTCTTCGAAATGCCGTGTTGTCCCACGATTACATACTTTTCAGGATAAATTTTAAAAGAAAATTCTCTCCTCGTAGTCTATATCGTATTGTTTCTCGTTTCCTGCTTGATGAGAAGCAGGCACGAACTGCACATGTGTTAAAATCATATATAGCTATATAAGTAGTAGTCCGTATATATGATCCTCGCCACGTTGAATGCGGGCGTAGGATAGACCGGGCTTGTTCCGGGGAAAAATTCGGACGACAGATTTTAAAACAAAAAGCCAACAAGCCAGAAAACTCCGAAAGAATCTCCTAACACCCACGGACAAAATTTCCGGACCCAATGCTATTACACTTCGATCTATCATGAAATAGGATCGACAGCGATAATCGCATATTTAATATTGAAAAAGGAATATTTTAAATGGAGAATTCTTAAATCTGGAATAAAATGATATTAGTACGTGCGTTATAACGCATCGAGAGAGGATTCATTCTAAACGCAAGATATATAAGTTTAAATTTATGTATGTTACCTTATCTCAATCTAATAAATCATTCACTTAATTCGAAAAAGGAAACTATTGATTTAATCTTCATTTTGTTATTTTTTATTTAATAATAATAATATTGTATTTTTTTTTAACAAGTAGGTTGAATAATCCGACACAACTGGCAACAGGAAACTTGCTTTATTCACACAACGTTTTGGCCCTTTTCAAGATACAATAAACAGATTCTAGTCGGCGTATGGCATGTGGTCAAATATCATTAGGCCCAGTTAGGAATGTCGCTGCAGAGACATTATATCTCTCTAGAAACGCGTGATTACTGTATGGGCGCAGAAATGAGACTGAGTCTAATCTATATAAGTTCAGTCTCATTTCTGCGCCCATACAGTAATCACGCGTTTCTAGAGAGATATAATGTCTCTGCAGCGACATTCCTAACTGGGCCTAGTGATATTTGACCACATGCCATACGCCGACTAAAATCTGTTTATTGTACTTGAAAAGGGGCAAAACCCATGGCCGAAACGTGTGAATAAAGCAAGTTTCCTGTTGCTAGTTGTGTCGGATTATTCAATCTGCTTGTTAACTAATTACTGCGATGATTCAATATTCTCAAATTTTGTTTTTTTTTTACAGCATGAGATTGTGATAAGTTATACCTATAGAAATATGTAGAATAATTTTTGTCTTGTCATCAGAAATCTTTTCTTATCTCAACTTCATCCGAATTTTTCTTTAACTGAACGAAACAGCCTTACCCCACTCTATGCGTAAACGACAAGGTTGCGAGGTCGATTTATTCGGAATTAATGAAATCTCAGTGGTGTGTTCCATAAGACTGCAATTAGCTGAAAAATTAATTCGTCTTGTACACGCGATAGCGAATGAAAAGCGACGATTGAATATTAAATGCGCACCACCTTCCACGCTTTAACGCAATTTGCGTTTATTTTGCGTGTGCGACAAGCGAAGCCGATTCCATTAATTAATCCGTAGCATTGAGTAATGAGACCGATTGTCTTCGGGAACGTAGAGCGTTATTGAACATTAGATAGATGCAATATTGCGGAGGACACTGAATATTTAGTTCACGGTCACTTTCAGATTCGAAGAACAATGGAGTACGTGACGTCTCTTCCAGTCTTATTAAATTTCTTTCATTTACTGTAACTTGCAAACGCATTGAGAGGGAATTTATCGCCACACATGTGTCCGATGATAGCATAAAAATACGATATCGAATTTAATCAACGGTATTATAATCGCGTGTAATAGAGGCACGTAGAAGAACTTCTCTACGTCTCGTCGGAGTGGTTTCTCTTACATTTGCATCGTGCACCGTCACGGTGCATCATTACAGCTCGTAGCTAATAACGATTTTGCGTGCGCTCTGTGTTTCCCGTTGTAAACGTAGATTTTCTGCAATTTCTGCCGCGGTTATGGTCGCGCGAAAGTTTACTATTTTCTCATGTTAAAGGAAGACAAAAACGGACTCGGGTATTTTTACTACTTCGCGCTCGGCCAAACGCGAATAAGAAATACCGTCGCTTTATCGAGGGGATATAAATATTTCTACGACTGCCTCTAATCACCGTCGGGATGATTCACTGCCGTGATTTGATTTCTTGCGAGACTCGCGGATCGCACTCATTCGGAATAATTTTCTCGGGCTTCTTATTACTCGCCAGGGCTACGATCGGTTTTATTGCGTATATCCGCCTGTCAACCGGCAATCACGCTCGTTGGAAGAACTTTCAAAGGAACGCAATAAAAGTGGTGAGTTAGATGTAGCAAGTAAATCCCGAGGAAATTGCAGCGAGAGAACGTTGATATTAATTTGTAAAGGAGACCGGATTTGTGAAGAAGACGCTTTGCACTTAACGGATGACAAAAAAAATTGCCGCTTACCCGTCAGTTGGATAATTGGAACGTCTCGCAAAGATTTCGCGTTTGAACAAAACCACTAGAATTTCATGCATTTGTCATATTCTCATTTTCAAAAGTTTCGCACAAAGTTGTGGGCGCATTTAAAAATTGCCGACTTCGACATTGAACTAAAATATTAGAATGCATATATTTAAAGAAGCACAATTTTATAATCCTTTACCCTTTATGTAAATTACGCTACTTTTCAACTTAGCCTGGTTTATTTTTAAATTATCTATTTCACAGTCGTATTATATCAATAACGTTGCTAATTTATTCTAATTTACTATTTCGATAAAGTGTGGCACAAGTATGCTAATTTTGCAAATGGAATGAGTTTAGCAGAGAGTTTTTCAAAACACGCGTTTTCTTAGTTTTACTCGCGTGGCAAAGTCATTCGAACAGACAGCGCGACCAAAATGCGAATACGTAATCTTCATTAATGTTTTCGCTGACGACAATAGAAATATTGCGTGCGGAACTTTACTCGATTCTATACGCCCGTCTCTGTAGCCAACTCTGACAAAACCTTGCCCTCTACTAACAACTTTCGTCCTACAAGTTTTCCTTGTTGTCCATCGATTTTTCATGTGTATGACATTAAAACGTAACAGCACTATAAAGATTTAAAACTTCAAGTGCCGACCTTCCCTTTGTGCCGTGATATTAAGTATGTTATCTTTCTTGCAACGCTGCATTTCACTAATTCACTTGCAATTGAATTACACTCAATTACTTGAACAAAAGAAACGCATTATATTCCATAGATCACATTGCTCATATAAAAAAAGAGACAAGAGGATTATCATATATACATTTTTTCGGAGGAGGGTTGATTTTTTCTCTTTAGGATACTGCCACGGACCAGGTTTTATCTCCATACGAAATACGATGAAACGCAGTGACACGGGATGTATCTTTTTATTTGTTCGACCGGCTCGCAAGAAATTGCCGAGAGAGAGTCACACAAAGGAAAGGCGTCTTTGTCCAGTGCGTTACGTGTGCGCTTGGCGATGAGTCAGAGACTCGTGGAAGCCGATCGTGTGTAACTCGCCCACACACACACACACACACACACCGAAGTTTACTCTCAAGAAATTGCAATTGAAATTATGGGTACAGCTCGAACTACACGCGTATTTACATGTACGAACCCGCGTATTCCTCGGTCTCGGGTATTACTCGAGTTCGGGAAATGCTTGATCGAGGATCCCGCGAGGTCAAAAACCTTGACCGTGATCGTTTGTACGCGCCCTGAAACAATTGGGATCGATTGTCACACACTATAAGCGGTATAAGTCTTCGATAATCTATCGATATAGAATATCCTTGGACATCTCCGGTGTTACTCTTTCTACCTATGGGTTTACGTTTGACTTTAAGAGAATGGGTTTACCATGTGTTTTGTCAGTGAGTTTTTCTCTTGTTTAAAATAATAATGAAGCTAGCTAGTAATTATTGTAATCAGCTGTGCATGGTAATCCTCGTCGATTATTCTTGCACGCGAAAATGAACTGTTTATATCGCAGAGTATTTTCATCCCGTCATTAACTTCAACAATCACAAATTTACTGGAATGACACACAGTTCGGAAATAAGTTACTACAGACGTTATATAAGTTACGTCACATTTTAATGGAGCTGCATTTTATCATGCAGATTGAACGTTATTTTTAGCGACAATAGATTAAATTGTCGAAAACCAAGTTTAAGGACAAGCCTTGAGAAAAGTACGATCGAAGCTAGAGCCTTGAAATCCCTTTTAGACCTTAGTATTTAAGGGGAAGGTTCGCGTGTAGACCGAGGGTTCTATTCTTCCCCTCCCTATTCACAATCTTCATGACGCACGGTCAAATTCTGGCTTATGTAGGTACATACATTTGAGTGAACCTATATGCTTGATCTCGAGAGCGTGATACGAGGGTTAATTCCATACTGACTAAATCTATATGAACTAACTTTAACATAATCATTAAATGTATTGATTATAATTCGCTGCGCCTAGAGACAATATAGTAGCATCAAAACTAAAAATTAATTCATCAGCAATAATAAAAAAACTAATATGACAGATTTAACAGAATTAATTGAGGTTTCCAGAAAAAGTAAACTTAATGTCGAATAATAGCTTGTGTTAATTATAAAATTGCTTGATTGATTAAACATTACAGGAGTTTTAATGATCGTCGACGAATATTATGTTGTAATATATCAAACAAAATTTCTTTAAGGAATTATGGAGTAACATCGTAATATAAATCAATATCGTAAATAGAGTATTATAGAATGTTAAACGGTAGATCACAAGCGGTTTACATTCACGACACGAGGACGAACAATGAAGCTAGATTCCCTTTTCTTAAAGCCAGAAACGAAGGCTGCCTGGTACAGTTCGAGGTAATCCGGAGACCTTCTTCCTTAGTATTATTCCGTACTGCGTAGATAGACAATGTAAAAATTCTTCAGTACAATTTCCTTTAACAGTGATAAATTTAGCTTCACGATTATCAGCTATTCATGAGATATTAGCGACCATTTTGATTGATTTATTTAATAATCTCACTCGACGTCAATGGCAATTCCCCAAAACATTAAGAATTATCGGTAACCACAAACAAGATAAATTATATTATAGTAAGTCTTTGAGATTCCAATTTTATTAGCTATTACTTTTGCTTTCAAATGTTTTTGTAGTACTTATGTGAGACGAATGAACTCATAATAACATGACATTATATTACAATATAGCATGCCAAATTTTTGTCGTTTACGTAAAGAACGATTTTTATGTAATCAGACCTCATATACATATTTCTCCTTTCTTTTTCTGTACTATTACCTTTACCGTATATATTCTTATAGAAAATCCAACGGATTTTCAGCTGTTTGTTAGTTAACGATCTAATGTCTAATTAATTGAGTCTACGCATCTTACTAGAGCTTAGCCCTTTACTTCGATGCCCAGTTTAATGATAGTAAGATAACGTTCCGGCTCCCTGCGGGTACTTTACTTTTCTCTCTATGTATATTTACACCAATGACTCCATTAATCTTTACTCGACTGACAGTTTTCTTGCTCGAGAGATTTTAATTTTTAACTCATTGCAGGAGAAAGGCGATAATAAATTTCAATTCATCTTTACGCGACTTTTTTGAAACTAGATTTTAATCGTTACGTCAAACTGATCGTTGCAATAAGCAAAACAAATTGAAATCGATTCAATTATTGGCTTTTCTCATAACACGAATTTTATTTTCTTTTAATTTGTCATTGAACTTCTGGCGTCGAATCGCAATCCAGACTTCGAGTGGCGCACAAATAGTAATAAAGCATAACAATAATAAATTCTTACCCGTGAACCACATTGTTCAAATTTTCCAGGTGCAAGGAGGGTGGGGGCGATCTGATCGTCACCTGACTCCCACCTGGGATAAACTGCACCTGCTCATCGCCGCTGTACCTGGATGCCGCGCCACTCCCCAGGGTGAGATTCTTTAGGTCAGCCATCATCCAGTCGTGCTGTAACATGAGCATTTACATGTTAGAATAACTTTTCATCGCGACCGAGTAACGAGCTTATATTTCTACGCTTGACTTTCATCCCGGAGAGACAATGATACTCGAAGGCGCGTGTACGGACAAGTCCAAGTTGTCAAAGATACGCGGGTGTATGTACAAAGGTAGAACCCATTGAGAGTACTTAGGCAATGTGCAGGACTTCGAATTCCATTGTGATATCCTGCACACTTAAAGTAATGGCTTCAGAACTGTCGGGGCATTTTGCGGTCCAAGATTCGTGTCGCGTCTTCATCAGAAGCGACGTTTTCTGTTCGCCTTATTGTCACACGGTTAGCTGAACATGCCGTGACGCACGATATCGTTCTCGTACTGTGTATATTTCAGTACTGTATTATCGAAAAATTCTTAAGACAGACGAAACGAAAGGTTTCAATAATTTAAAAGCCAGTCGATTGAGAATAGTCCCTAGGAAGACCATCGATTCGACGTTATTAGATGCGGTATATAGAATATTGGAGATAACCAAATGAATGTCTCTTCCTTCAAATCGACAACGTCCGCTGCGTGAATTGTTAAACACGTGGCTCGATAACTTTTCCATTCTACGCCTACAGAAGGAGGCTGAAAATTTCGAGAATACCGCGCAAGTGACCAAGCAAAATAAAAACTTATAAATTTAACTTTCAATAATAATTTCGATACTGTAAACTTAAGCCAACGGCACACGATACTATTTTTCCTACTGGATTGCTAACGAGAGCCAATCAGGATTTAGCCTTAAGTCACCTGGTCGAAAACTCTGCATCCTGATTGGCTCGCGTAAGCAATCCAGTAGGAAAAATAGTATCGTACACCATTGACTTTATACTTAAAAACTTGAGTTTTTTAAACAAAAATTACTTTTTTCCAAAAAAAAGAAAAAGTATTGCACTAACAATCAGTGTATTATTTCAGCTTAGACTGTAGTACATTCTTATGTGTTTGCGGACTTAATACAAGCAACAAAGTGTAATTTATTAATTTTGATACACGTCACTTTGCACTACATCATAATTAAAGTAAAATATTACATGCGACACATCGTAACAATCGCAAGCACGTGCATCTGTCAAAGTAATGTGTACGTTGAGTTTGCTTGCGTACACTTTCAGAAAGAGTAACGCAAACAACACCCGGGAAAAATAAAAATTATGTTTACTCCATTGCTGCAAAATTTATATAATATACTAAGCAGAGATAAATATCTCATCAGATTATTATCGCGATATCTTACAACCATTTTCGAACAAAACAATGTTGGTAGCCAAATTGGCTCAAACATTCTTTACAAATCTCACAGACTTTTATATACTACTAGACTGCTACCTTGCTGAAAAGTGAGGCAAGGGTTTCGCCATGTCTTCCCTTGGGAAAATTTACTTTAAATGAAATTAAAGTTTTTAAAAGTAATCTTTCACAAATCTAAGAGTTTACTTAAAGAAGATAAAAGTTTACTTAAGAAATTTTAGAGTAATCTTGGACACTTAAAGTAACTTTAAATAGCCAAGCCGGTCGAAGTTTCCGCTAGAGGGCCGTGCGGCATAGCACTTTCTCGTAAGAAGAGAACCGCACGCGGTATTATAAATTATATCACATACTTCCACAATTCTTAAAGTTTTCTTGTAAATTCTCAAAATAAGTTTTAAGTTTACCTTAAATAAAAGTCTAAAGTGTCCAAATCTACTTTTCATATTTCTTATTTTTTTAAAGTAAAATTTTAAGGTTTTTTAAGGTATATTTTCCCAACGGTTGTTAGGTAAATAAAGTAGTATGTGTGCATCGGTCTGTCAGTGACAGACTAGTAATATATACATAGAAGTCCGTGACGAATCCACAGAGAAATATATTATGCAGGCTCGAATGCAAGAGTTTCCCTGGGTACCGATGCAAGCGCGAATCGAAGAAACTTTGGATAATCGTCGCTTTCGACTGGAGAGAAGACTATCGCGAATTTCACCAAGGAATAATCGCGCAGTTTTCCTAATATCTGTAATGTGTCTAACATGCTTACGCATACATGGCGTGATAAACACGTCAAAAACAACCGACGTACTTTATCCGAATCGTCAGATGTACATACAATAAAGAAGTACATCGACGCACGAGAAAGTTTAATCGGTATTTGCGTCATTATAATGTTCCGTAAACATAGGGTTTCCTAATAGGGTTTACACTCTTTTCGTAGGAAATTGGCAGATGCAATCTTACTGTTGATTACTACAGTGACGTTCCTCTCTCCCGGGAAAAAGATAACTTCCACATTGCGAACGTGAATTCTGCTCTTCTTGATAAAAACGGTATTATCCGTATCGCGTATAGACGACGCATTATTGCCGATCGAAAAAGAAAACAAAAGAAGAGGTGTGCATTCGTCGAGTCGGAGGGACGAATTGTATTTCATACACTGAGAAAAATGACCGATTAATTGACACTATTTAATAAGTTTATCCGATGAAAAATGTTCTCAGTGTACTCATATTAGAACAACCAACCCCGTCGAAATGGATTTCAAGTTCCTTGTTTTAAATTACAGAAATTGTCAAGATGCTTTCGTTGGAATTTATGTTGACTTTTGTCGAGACAAAAACCACTTAAAGTGACGTGTATTTAGATTAATAAATTAGACTTTGTTGTTTGTATTAAGAATCCGCAAATACATAAGAATGTACCGCAGTCTAAACCGAAACAATACATTGATTGTTATCGTAATACTTTTTCTTTTTTTAAAAAAAGATAACTTTTATATTGAAAACTTAAGTTTTTAAGTATAAGTTTACAATACAGAAATTATTATCTACACACATACGTCAAAATGATGCTGATTAGACAGTTTAACAAAAAATGATTATTTTAAACACCTGGACGAGACTAGTTGTTTCTTAATATTGTAGTTTTTTTTTGGACGCTGAACACGAATCCAAATTGCTTCAAGTCACAATTTTAAGTAATTTGCAATATGTGACATACTGGTTAAGTTTTGTTGCAATCAAAATTAAGTATGTTGTTAGACCTTTCAATCCTCAAAGGAGTTTTTGTGTTGTGGTTAACAAGATATCTAAGGTTAAATATGAGGTGTGTTGCGGAAGTAACTTAGATCATCGACGAATTTCTATCTTGCAATTATGTTACTCTAACAATAAGCGCAAGGGTATTTTTAGGCCGCTGAATATGAATTTGTCGACAATCAGACTTTGACCGTGGACGTTGCTCGCGGACGCGCGACTCGAATCGATTGTTTGGCGAAACGATTAAAGGACCGGAAGACGCTCCGACTGGGGCGTCGAGATTCCTCCTTAAACGAGGACTCCCCGGAAAAGGAGTACAGGAGAAATTCAATGAATATCACTCGAATGTCTAATCGATGGAAAGTTTGTTTCTACACAGAAATTTTGGTCTCGCCCAACGTCTTTGTGTCGTAGCCGTGTTTTCCTCGCATTAGCGTCACTTTGAGCGGAAATTATATGTATCGGTCAAAGAGAACGAGTCACGTATACATTTTCCTATTTTGTCACCTTCTGCGGTCGCGACTTTTTGAATCGTCGAGGTCGCACGCGGGTCGTGTCCCCAGCGGGCCGATTGGACCCGCGGGTGAGAAGCGAGATGCAAGCTGCAGCAACGTATGGAGTTCCGTGCTGTGCGCCTGGCGATCTCGCACTCGGAAACGCGTGTTCGATTGATCTGATGCGAGGGATCCTTGAAAAGTCGAAGTTCCGATTGCGCACAGAGCACGCTCGAGTAACGGTCGCGCTGGCACGACTTTTGCGAGCTGCCACAAATTACGCATCCGCGCACAGGCACGCGCTAATGTTGAGTACTGGCACGAGCTTCGCTAAATTCCGTAATCGCGCGGTTGCACGCGGGCACTGGAACTTCCGAAAGCTGGTTTAAAGTCGTCATTGTAAGCACTCGCGGAAAAGACGACCGATTCTCGCTTCGCCAACTATCGTTCTGATTCTCTCGCCTCTTCGCGACGACGATACCGACCTCCCCGCTGTCTTCTCCGAGCCTGCCAATGACAAGAGACCGCGTTGTTTTCGGAGAATTTTCAAGATTGTCATTGGCAGGATTCGGTTTTGCAGGATGACGCTCCGGCGTGGCTGATCAGCGTTCGGGGCTCGCTACCGCTCGATATGGCGACTCCTTAACAGAATTCAACGGCAAAATTGTCAAATTCAAAATATTGCAATTAATATAGTGGATAAAAATTAAATAATGTGTATATACACACTATACATATTTTATTTTTTGTGTAAGTTTCAGACCTAAAAATTCTTAAGATTAAAAAAACATAATTGAAAAGTCGATCGTCAACAATCTAATTGTACACACAGTGTTCGCAATACACCAAATATTTTAATAACTTTGGATATCTTATTAAGCACAAGAGACACTAAAAATTTCTTTTGAGGGCTTGAGAATACGTTGAAAGTCCTAACAACGCACTCAGGCCCGGTTTTTCATTTTCCGATTAACTGTTAACCACAAGTTAGTCGACTCTATCTTTCTTTATATTATTATCTAAAAAGAGACAGAGAATTGATTAACCAGAAAATGAAAAACCGTGCCTTGAGTTGCAATGAAAAACAATTGCAACGAAACTCCTCCAGCACGTCACATATTGTGGCTATAACATGGCAAAGTTCGTGAAAATACACTTTTTGCGACTTTAATTGCAAATTTAAAAATGTGACGTGATGAAGCAATTTTGAAACCAAATTCAGCATCCAAAAAAAACCGACTACTCTCCCCGTGTTTTTTTGTTAAGGTAGTTGTTTTGCGACAGCAATGCTCAAAAGTTTATTCCAGAAAGGAACCAGCACTCAATTATTACAATGATATATCTTGATGCAATATTGTTCTAAAGAACACACTTACGATTAATACATAATATAAAATAGATTCGAAAGATTATAGTTTGAGGCGCTGTTGCTGTGTTATCTAGCGTTAAATATTAGATATTTTCTTTAATTTTAAACACGAAGTGTCTTTGCATACGACATTTACAATGTGTATACAGACGCGATAAAGCGGATTTCGCTAGAGAAAATAGATTTTCAGTGAACGCACGGTAAGACTGAAAAATAGTAGCAAATCTCGGAGATACTGCGATAGAACGGCCAATTTCACATTTATAAAAATTTCTCATCAACATTGCTTCCGCGGTGCTGTTAAAACGGGTAAACTTGGCGATCTGAAATCTCTCTAATTTATTCTCTCGAATTTCTGGGAATTTCCACATTATCTAAAAATCCGAACAAAGGCGTCTCGGGGTTTTATAGGTTGACTTAAGCAATTAGAAAAGCCGAAGTAACAATTGGAAATGTCGAACAATCTAAATTTATTTTGTAATATTAAGATGTTAGAAAAAAATGTATTTCTGAGGAAACAGTGCGAACGCGATTCTTTATTTGGCGTAACTGATTCGATATTGCAAAAGATTTCAAGTTTTAGGTATATTTTTAATGAATTCGCTGAGCTTTCTCTCGCTTTAAACGAAGAGAAACGTCTCACGCGCATATAAAAATAAAATGATCTGCGGAATAAATGAATAATTAAGAATGTAATAAAATTATTTATTCATTATTGTTAACGGATTGCCACGAGATATGACTCTCAAAGGACAAGGTGACCGTTGACACGTCTATTTGATTGCGAGTCGAGAGAGAAAAGCGGGAGTGAGAGAACAAACACAATGATTATACAGCAGGTATTGCAGCAAGGCTCGTTAATTATTCGGTAAACTTGCCGATTGTCGTCGTGGATGGTCAAGGAGGTTCGGGAAATCGGTACGTACGTTTGTTGCGACCGGGAGAAAATCTATAACGATGAAAATACATAGACAAAGTCCCCTATTATGAGATAGATTTCTGATATGAGATAGTAGGTTTTCAACGTTCAAATTCAATCGCCAATCTTTTTTCGTAACGATTAGATTACACGATCTAACAAGGAATTTTCAACTAAAAATAGATTTCACCCCAAGGGTGAATCGAGGCAATAAATTCATGGTGGAGCCAACATGATGTCTATATTTGGCAGAAACCCTGCTATCTCATTTCGTAGGAGCTCATCTCGTTATAGAGGACTTTCCTTTAATCATGTATAACAATTGAGAGCGTACGTCGCGCGCCTCTTTGCTTGCCTTTCGTTTTTCGAGGGAGTCAGTACAGGGGAGTTTTCCGGGAAAACCGGTTCCTCTTGTAGACGAACTAACCGACTCTCGCCCCTGTCCCGGATATCACGCCAACCGAAAAAAGAAGATTCGTGCTTTGTCCAATAATTTAGGAAGAGGGCACACGCTCAAAAACTAACGTTACGAAACGAAACGATGCTCGCCAATCGTTTGCTAACGTTAATTACAAAAATAGAGGAAAGAGGAAAGAACCGGGGCTTCAGGCTCGAGCATAGAAGATCCTAAAGAGGATTAAGTCAGCCACTGTTCGCGCAGCCTGCCATTATTCAGGGCATATCTCTCATTCATGTGCGAGCACAGTGTCTCGCTGATACTGTGCTTTCGCGTATCTCCCGTGTGAATATCTCGGAAATCGAAGATCAGTTCCCGACCGTTGGGAACCACCGCCTCTCCCCCCCGCCCCTCTCTCTCTCTCTATCTCTATCTGTTTTTGCAGGGCGTGCACGTGTCAGGAATTACGCCGGTCGCGTGTTTGTGATGCACGATGCGCGCAATTGCATATTGCACACGACGGGCAGCGCCGTTTCCACCATCGCCGGGGCGTTCGGGTCTTGTGTCAGCAACCCGCCGTCAGGCGCCGACACGATGAGATTTCGCTCGGGTTTTATTATTCCAGGATGATATCCCGGAATCGGTCGGCCGCCAGGCGACCTTCTTTGTTTGAACAGCTAAACGTCCCTCGATCGGTCTCAGAGGCAATAGCTCGGGCTCGACTGTTCTGAGCTCTCGTTAATTAAGCGCTCTGCTCGCAACAGAATCAATTCTGCAAGTCTGATAAGGCACCCCGGCACTGCCACGGAGTGTACGGAAAAGCGATTCCCGTTTAGTTCTAAATGCAACGCTGAGATAAAGTTCGGTCCTGGATTTCCGATGAGCCGCACTACCAGCGTGAGATTCGTTCTCTCATATCCATCGCAGCGACAATTGCGCTGATGAATTTATCCCGGTAGTGCCCCCGCGTCGAAAAATTTTCAATTTCGATGCGAAAAGAGCGCAATTGCTCTGTCAACTTATTTGAAGAGTAATACAATTGCGAATTAAATTTGTCTCTTTCTTATTTGCGCAATTTAAATAATTATTTTAACAGGACACACTCAATGTACAGATAAAAAAATTAACGTGACGAATATGTACAACTTTAGAAATATATGGTTAGTCAAGTTTTTTTTATTAACACATAGAGTGTGTCCTGTTAAAATTATTATTCTAATTGCGCAAATAAGAAAGGGATCAATTTTACTCGCAACTATATTACTCTTGAAATAAATTGGCGGAATAATTGTGCTTTTTCACATGCAAATTGAAATTCTTCCGAATAGAATTGAAACCGTACAAAATTTTACTACGAAAAAAAAGCACGTGCAAAGATATTGTTCATCAACAGACAACAATTCTCCGAGCGAAAGTATGATACCGATCATATTGATAAATGCAAATTCCTCTCGTTAAATGCACTGTCGTGTACATACGTGACACGTGCTCGATGCAATTTGCTTATCACGATACGTTTGTCCTATCGATATTGGTCTCGGAGCATTTATCAAACGACCCCCATCACGATCTTGATTCTGGTTCTAGAGACTTTGAGTTTGTCAGACAGAGGAACATCTTATGTTCTACTTTATGATAATAACTAATTGTAAATTGAAAATTTCATATAAAACATATATGTAAAACATTTACTCTTAGATCTCACTTGATAAGGACCTGAACCAAAGGTCGAAACGTTGTGAAAGCGTATTTAATAAACGTGGCCAGCTGAGGTTGATTGAAACTTGAAATTTTATTTATATTAATACTGGCAATCTGATGAAATATACTAGTTGAAAGTTTCATTTTGACCTTTTTTAAACGGAACTACAGAAGCCTCGTAGCGAGATCGCAATCGTACAACGAACGCAACCATAAATATCGTAAAACTGTCTCTAACGGGGATTCTTTCGTGTGCAGCAAATAATGTCGGGTATCGCGAAGATAAGAAGCGAAGTGATTGCATTATCAATTTGCGTGGGGTGTTTGTCTCTCCGCTAGTGTCTCGAAAATAAAACCGCGAGAGCCGTAGATCCTTCGTCAATCGCCCAAGACGAAGGGACAGGGACGTGAATCGCGAGGCGAGGTCGAACGGGGAGAAGACATCGACGGAGACTGAAGAGTGGTGCGTCAAGAGAAGATCGGATAAAGCGAGCATTGATGCTACGCGATCAACGGCAACGTTAACATCGTTACGCGTAGCCCGATTTCGCAGCGCGTCGCTTCGCGCAGCGGAGCTAATTAACTAATTGAAGCATCGGCGATTAAGCGGAAGGACCCGCTGCACTTGGGAATAAATAAATTCCTCCTCCCGTGCTCCGTAATTGATTACCGCGTAGCGAGAGCCACGGGACAGATCCGCGCTGTCCATGACGCACAGCTGCGAGGGTGGCTGAAGGGCCACCGAGGTAGTTACACGACCGTCCCACGCGCACGCTAATCGACGCCAACGGGACAACTCACCCTCGGACAAAGGTGGGTTCAGGTGCCGCCGCGACGCTCGAATTCATACCACGGCGGCGACGCTCCGCATCTTCGACCTGGCGAGAGCACCGCGGGCGGGTGCCGCGAAAAACGGAAGTGTCTCTGGTACCAAAGGGACCGCACGCGGATTCACCACTCCGACCCTCGCAGGGCTCCTCGCTCACGGATTCCACCCCGCGTATCGACTCTCTCGTGTCGCCCGATTACTGACGCACCGTCACCACCGCGTCCGTAACACCACATTCATTCGGAGACACTACCTGCCGGACGCCGTTCGGGAGCGATCGATCGCGAGGGCACGCAGGGTGGCGATCCTCCGGATGAACCGATCGATCAGGATCGGAGCGAACGCACCGAGCGGAACCGCGACGCGCACTGCGACTGGAGCCAGAGCGCCGATCTCTCCGCGACTCCACCACCGCGATCAGCTGTCGAGCTGTGCACTTCCATACCACCTCCACCGACGACCGAGTAAGTCGAGCTCGAGAGCGGCAGGGTCCAGGGACGGCGGCGGTGATCGTTGCCCTGCCTCGGCTTTCCTATTTCTTTGTCGTCGGTTGCCAGCCCGCGCCGAACGAGTAAGGTCCTTCGTTCCTATTGTCAACTGCACGTTTCGGTGATATTTCTCTCTCTTTTACGGAAAATCGACCTGGCGATGGGAGAAAAAGTGGCCAAATGAGAGGAAACCTACATGGAAACGTACATGGAGCACAGGAGATTTGTCGTCGCGTGGTTTCCGATTTTCTTCCCCTCATCCTACAACTGGGCTTGTGAAAAGGCACTTTTCTGATTCGTACCCTTTGGATACACGCGACGCAATCCGCCCCATTGTTTCACGTAAACTTGTCGCTCTTGAGGAGAAGCAAATCTCTAATTTTTCTCCGCCGTCTTCGCTTCCAGCTTCTAACTCAGTCTTGCGAATGTACATCTCACTCTTTCTCAACGGACTTTGCGTCTTACTTATATCTCGTCATCACATGTTAAAGTCAAGGACAGTCCTTGTCCTGGTTGTTGTTAAAACATTCGCTGTCAATATTGAACTTTAGAACGGTGAAACTTCATCACACGCAATTAATCTAATCATATAGCAGCTACGCTATCGCAGGATAGCTGGTAACTTAATCGCCTACGTTTTAAAATAATTAAATTTCTCTTTTCACAAAGGCTTTCGTTACGTACTTAATCAAGGCTCCGATATCAGTCCCCGATATTAGACGCCAGTTTCGACACATTAACCGTGACATTACTGATGCATGCACATTGTCGTTTCCACGATTCTCCTTTGCGGCAGAAAACGAGAATAAAATTCCCGCAGCGCGTTCCTGGCAACCCGAATGATTCAGAATTATGACACACGCGAGTCATTTCCTATCGTTTGCTCACATAACTGTCCTCCGCGTAAGAAAAGATAATAATCGCCCTAAGATCTGAACAACAACCGGCGTATCGTTGGATCTACTCATGCAAAAGAAGACACAGAGAAGCGATATAAGGAAAAATAAGATAATCGCCATTTGACGTTTCCTCATGAAAAACTATAAGGTCCATATTCTGAATCCTCTTTTATCGCTAAAAGTGCCACTAAAAATGGTTTTCAAAGGTTCTTATTGGTCGTCACGGGTACTTTCGTCGATGAAAGAGGACTCGGAATATGGGACCGAGTCTCTTTAAAAGGCGCTGGACGGGGGCGCCGCTTGCTCGTTGTACATCGTTGATCGTCGCGCATGTACAACAAAGCGAGGTCGCACCACACCGGCGGGATTCCCGTGCACGTTTACGCGAGTATCGACCTTAGAGCGGCACGACGGAGTACTCTAGGTGAGCACGACGAAGAGCGCAGACGGAGGGCCGAGCGGGACGATGATAGAAAATAGGAGCGGGAACTGTAATTCCTCCGCGCGAGCGAGGAGGAAAGGAAAGAACGAAGGAGAAAGGAGAATGAGCCACCACATGCCACGGGTCGATACTCTAGCACTGAACCCGCTGGTGGCACTCACTGAGTGCGGTTGCACCAGCGCGAGTGCGACCGCACCGAGGACGGCACCAAAGGCTGTTCGCCTGGCATCCACGGGCGCGACGCAGAGATACGACACGTTCGCGAGAAAGCGCGAGGGAGAGGGACGAGCGTAGAGGCGATGCTGAAGTTCATTCGGCGGACACTTGTACCCGTGAATGGGGACCAAAGTTTGGATTCGGATTCTTGAGGAATGACGCGGGTGTCATCTCGCCACGTCCTGGTCCATTACATTGTTGTATTGGAATATGCAGGGAACGTTTCTTCATTAATAATTGGGGGTTCCATTGTTCGCGTGTTCAGTCCGACGAGTGTCCCGAAAGCGTCATGAGCGACAGGCCGACGATCGCCGCGAGAGAAATGCATTCAGAGTTTATCGAGTTTCCCAATGTTTCCTTTCGTCCCATTCCGGGCGTTGGAATCAATTTCGCGGCCGTTCTCTTTTTATGGTTCGAGAATCGTCGTTATCTGAACAATTTTATTGAGGGGAAAAGTTCTATTCTACCTGCTAGAGTTCTAAGTAGATCCATACCCGCGGATTAAGGAACTAAGAAAACGCGGAAAACACTCGGGACTTTACGATCGCTTCTTTGCCCCCGGCGAGAAACGCGATAGTTAACGCACCGCCTGAAAATTCCTGACAATATTTCCAGGAAGCGAGAAGCGCGGATTGTTCTGGCGGAAGAAAAATGCAAGGCCCACCGGAGCGCGGTCTCCGTTCGCCTCGCGTAATCCCGATCACGGAATTTTACCTGACGTCCCGCTTAGACTTTTGAACTTCAGACTGTGTGTTGATTAATTGATGCCACGCAGCTTGATCTCTGGACGTTCGCTTCGTAATGTCGTTCTCCATTTCGAGGCGCGCGGAACATTTCACTATTTTAGGTCCGGTCTCATCAACGTTGTTTAACTTTAAGCTTAGCTCAATGCGCTCTTTGTCTCTTTCCAACTGCTACTTCAGAAAGAGACAAACATGAATTAAGCTCAGATTAAAGTTAAGCGACGTTCGGTGAAACCGGACCTTAGATTCACCTGTGTGCGATCAAGCACAACGTTGGTCTTCCGTCTCCATCACGCAACCTTGAGTCCCCCGTCGATACCACGTGCTGTTGCTGGGAGTTGCGGTGGAAGACAGCGGGGGCAGTGTTTCTTTCCAAATTGGCGCCTCTTAAGTTTCATAACAAATGTACACTAATGAACTCTCCTGCTGAGAGAAACAAAGCTACACGCATGTGAAACTGTTATCTGCGTTAACGAATCGAACGATAGGAGCGATACGCTTAACAAAGCGATTTGTATTATCTGGATTTTGCTCCGTGACCTTTTGATAAATCTTATCCGCATTATCGTCGTAACATTTTATATAACTTTTTGTTCCAAATTATTATCTAATAGCACGAAGGAGTTAAGAGGAAACGATGCACGTGCACGTTGCAGATTAAAGTCTAATCTACAATGTGCTCTCTGCGTCCAGAAACATTCTATTTTGTAGTCAGTAAACACGTTTAAGAAATTTGTGCAAGCTAATAAATTGTATATTATACATCGCACAGTTTTTAAGCGTTTCGATTCGTTTATATAAAGCAGAATGTTTCTAGACGCAGAAAGCACATTGTAGTTTAGGCTGAAAAGCGCTGATTTCCTGTGACGCCTGGAGGATCTTTACAAATTGTCCGTCGATTATTTTTATTCAACAAACGGGTATCGGCTCAAGGATCCTCCGAGCGAGCGAATAAAGCTATCTTGCACGAATATCACACGCGTTAAGAGCCTCAGGTGTTTCTTGATAAGGATGACAGACGCACGTGTCTAGATAGCCAATGTGGATATTCCTGTGTTATGACAGTATCTAACAAGACTGCATATAACTGACTGTGTCGCAATGTCCTTAATGCTAATACGTGCAAAATGAAAGGAAGCTCGTCACGATACTGGTCATCAATAAAGAAAAGGAAAGATAATGACGAACATTGCGCCATGAATACCGATAAAAGTATTGTGTGAATAAACGCACAGTAATTTTCAGAAAATCTGTACCGTTTGTATTTGGAAATAAGATAGCCCGACTGATCCACAAAAAAATATATTTTCTTTGCAACCACGAATCGTCGCAGGACATATAAGGTAAGAAGTTTCCGCGGTAAATTTCTTTCTGCCGCCGAAATTAATTGCGTCAGGGACTAATCGGTTGACGCTTTTCTCGAAGCACGACGTAAGCGACGACGTGTGATTTCTCGTGACTCACAAATCGGCTTCGAGTCATGCGTAATTAATTCCTTGTTTCCCCCCCACAAGATAGGAAACTCCGGACAATTGCGAGAACGGGAGATCGAAGTTCACGTCCCCCCCCCCCTCCATTCTTTTTCACTCGTCATCTAGCGCGCACTTCCGCCAACGATCCCCAGAAGCGACCATCGCTGGTCGCAGGCGAGTGCACATGCACTCGCGGTCAGCGATAGTCTCTACCCTGATTTCATGACTAACGACCTCGATCTAGCGCGGCACGTTCGTTACGCCTAGCGTATCTCGCTGTTGTTCGCGGCAGAAATCGCGACGCTAGCGGAGATAGAAAGGTTGTCCGCGATCGCGCCAAGCGCGCGCGATCGATTCTCGCGATCGCACGAAACGCGCGACGCGTTCGTAAGCACGTGGGTGTCACTAGAACGGAGATGGTATCGCGTAATTACAGGCAGATGCACCGGCAGGCTTTACGTAATAGGGGGGACTTTCCTCAACTTTTAATAAAAAAAAAACATAATTTGACTCTTTTACAACTGTATCCTGACTTTTCGATGACTTTCGTCAGGAGAACGCGAATCGCTCGTGCACGCGAGATGATAAAAATCTCACAGATATTATTGTATTTTACGAATTTGGAAATATTTGATCTCTTTCAAGCAATGACATCTTGATTTTCTATTCGCGAGATAAAATATATATTGCACTTTATTGTACAAATCATATTCTTATCATAGTGGTGCATCATTTTTGTTAGAGAAACATTTTATATCAATTACTGGTATCATTGTTAGCATTTAAGTCCCAACATACAGATAAGAGTGTTGGAAATGATCAAATTATCGCGAACCATGTCAAATAGCGCGCTATTGGAGACCCCGTGGCGTCTCTAAATTTCGAAGTCACAATTTCATCAATTTTCTGTTATGATTAAGATATAACTTTTGGTCGACATTATGATGTCACTTCGATATTATTTTGACTTCATCAGGACTTCTGGTTCCGCTTAGGGCGGCACATTCGAGACCGCGAGAAAGCTCAACTCTTCCCTTAACGATCGAACTTTGTTTCTTCCGTTCGAAGCTCCGTATTTACAATATTAGACAAAGCGATGTTTCTTCGTCGGCGTCGGTTCCAGGCTGAGATAATTACAGCCTAATATTTTTCGAAAATAGAAACGTAATAGGTCATAGTACTCTGTTATTGCAGCGCCGTTAATCGCTCTATCGAAAATATATTTTAGAGTCAATCGTTCATTTTTCTTTCTCCCGCGTCTTCCTTGAATAACCAACGTCTCTCAAGGGTGTGATGCGTATCGGATACCCTCGTCCGGGTATAAAGTACCTAGGGCGATGTACATGCTTAGCGAGGTTGACTCGCAAGATGCCACAAGATCGCCACGAACCGTAAAGTCTTGCCTGGCGTTCAGTGGCGGGGAAAATTTTGTCGCCATTTTACTTTTATTTCACTCTTATTATTGATGAGCTTCACGGCAACAGATTTTACGGACGCCGTACCTGCATTTGCAGAGATGTGCATTATTTGAAATAGACGCGTTTAAAATGGAAATACAAAATGTAAAACCACTTTTGCGATTTGTATTTAAAATTCCTTTTTTAGAAGCTATTTTACATTTCCACTTAAATGGATTTATTTTCTATCTCAAATGCACTTTTCTTGTAGACTAAGAAATTAATCGTTATATCAACGGTTGCGTTTTAGTAGAAGTAAGTGTCTACAACCTTGCTTAAGTAAGCTGTAAGCCTTAAGACGTAAGAAATTAACCAATCACAGGCATTTATTCCCCTCACTCTCACCTGTGATTGGTTAATTTCTTACGGTTTAACGCTTACAGCTTACTTAAAGCCAGTTTGTAGACCAACACTTAAGCAGTAAAGCTACTTTGTAACTGTTGTAAAATTCGTGATACTGATCGGTATATGTTCTTGGATTCAGTCAAGATTAAGAGCATACTATA